TTTGTCCCCTTCAGAATCAGCTGGAGGGGAATTTTAAAGGAATGAGTTTTCCTCTCTCTTGTGCCTTGGGACATGAATTTCTACTGCTTCAATGACGCACCCTGACAGTAGCTGGAGCCACACACACACCCCAGTCCTGCCTGGTAATATCAAAGCTGCAAACCATGTGGGTCAGCAGAGGTAGGGGTCCACAGAGTGTGTTAAGAACCACTTAGGCCTGACTAAGTGAGCACTGGCTGTAGGTTCTCACCATCTGAAAAGAATATCTAGAATAGAAAGAGTTACGGCACCAAACATTGCAGTCAGCTGCATATAGTACATTAGAATTACTCTCTCTTAAAGATCTGCAGACAGGATTGTCAGCGGGAGGACCCAGATACCAGTTGTCAGAATACAAGGAGACCCCTTGCTTACTCCTTGGGAGTTATGCTGGCTGCAGTGGTAGGAAAGGAATTGATTCATATCTAAAAAGGCCATTCTAGAAGTCAGCCTGAGAGCCTAGAGTACTCAAGAGACTCCACATCTCCAAAAGCCAAATTCCACAAAATCTTATTCTCTGCCAACCCAAAGTGGCACTTACCTAGATCAGCCAGGTCTGCTGAGCCCCACACGAGAAGGGTGAGCTGAGCTACACCTGGACTTCACAGCAGGTGCCTTTGCTAAGGAAGGTGTTGGGTCGAGGCTTGGCTTGCAGTTAGCAGAGACGCTGGTCCTCACCAAGTACAAGGAGTGAAGACACAACAGCACGCGAGCACCGAGGCTACTATTCACACGTGGAGGTGGCCCAAGCAAAGCTGCCAACGCTTCCCAGGCTTGGGAGGACCCAGGTATGGGTGTGAGACCCAGACTCTAATTTTTTGTTCTATTCCAGACATGCAGAGAAACAGAGCTCTGGTTTTCATCCCAGCCAATTAGGCTTTGCTGTGTGGTGAGCCTCAGAGACAGCAACCTCGACATAAAAACACTTTGCCTGCATTTGCTCGGACCAGCTCCCAGGAGCACTGGCTGGCCAGTACCTTCTGTCCTCAACAAAGCAAAGGCTCCAGAGCTCCGCCTTCCTTGGCTGGTGGGAGGAGCCATGGGGAGTCACCACTAACAAGGAGCAGGGGAGACGGGGAGTAGAACTGCCATGACATAAACCAGGACCCATATGGGATCCTGGCATGCGTAAGGTGAGGACTTTACTTACTTGGCTACTGAGCCAGGCATGAGAAAAATCACTGTAATACTTGGCCTTTTATTTCTTTCAGGGTACTTGGGACTATTAATTCCTTGTTCACAAAAGTAATCTGACGTATGTCCCGGTGCTGCAGTCTAGCAGCTTAAGTCCTCACCTGGATCCCATATAGGTGCTGATTCTACTCCCGGCAGCTCCACTTCCCATCCAGCCCCTGCTTGTGGCCTAGGAAAGCAGTCTAGGACGGCCCAAAGCCTTGGGACTCTGCTCCCGCGTGGGAGACCAGGAACAGGCTCTGGGGTCCTGGGTTCGGATTGGTGCAGCTGTGGCCGATTCTGCCTCTTGCGGAGTGAATCAACGGACGGAAGACCATCCTCTCTGTCTCTCCTCCTCTCTGTGTGTCTGATTTTTCAATAAAAATAAATTTTTTTTTTTTAAGTAATGTGACCTCGCACCTCACCTCACATGCCAAACTATGGGGCAATATCATGAGATTACCAACATCTGCAATGTTGAAGCCAGTATGAGCACAGAGTTCAGGCCAACAACAAACTAAAAAGTTTGTATTGAGTTAGGAAGGTAACACAACATGGCATAAATCGAAACACAGTTGGAAGTATCACAGTGTATCACTTTAAGTATATGAATGAAGTCCTAACAACAATCGAGAGATGTCAGATACTGCTATTAGGGATAATGATGAGCCATCATTTTCTCCTTCGGAATTTTGCAGGTCTGTTTGGGGAAAAGGAGAAATTCACATCGGAATAGTAAGCAGCAATGCAGGGCCCTCTAGCAGTGAACGCGATACTCTGAGTGAGGACTTAAAGGTCGGCCTCACAGACTAAGACTCACCGCGTCTTGTCTTAGTGCCGCCCTGCGTCCACAAACCCTCTCCCATATCCCTAGCTCCCAAGAGCAGCCAGCTGCAATAGGTTGTAGGTACCAGTGGTCAGTTATGGTGTCTGGGAATACCACCGGCAGAGTGTCTGTAGCTGACACCTCTAGCATTGGGTTTTATCTCTATGGCGCAGAGAGGCTGGGGCTCGCCATAACGGTAGTCAAAATAAGCCATTGGGGGGGACTGAGGGTGTTACCCACACTAGATTTGGACCACACAAATCAAAAAAGCCGCACCCATGTGGTCCTGGAGGATGCCATGCATAGCTGCTGGGTTCACATTCATTGTCCTTTCTATTCTGAACCTGCAAGGAAACAGATGTGGTTCTCAAAGTGCCTAGTTCACCAGCAAAATGAACCATGTGGCCAGTGAGCAGTCAATAAAATGAGAACACGCCCCAAAGCCCCCAACCTTCCGGTCCCTCCCTGCTGCACAGATATGTTCCATGTTCACGTCCACACGTTCTGGAGGGAGGCGTCATAGGGCGGGGGAGTGGCCGGAAGTAGACAACCCCAAGTTCCTTCCTTTCTTGAGCAAATTGGCGGGGAAGCTGGAGCCAGCGGGAAGTTCTATCAGGTATGTTGGCGGTAACCCTAGTTAAAAGGGGAGGTGGCGGGGATATTGCCCCTAAAAACCACAATTCCTTGTCCCTGGAAAGGAAAAGATAATGCAGTTCCACTCAGGCCTCCGTGGCTGTCCTCCTGGCCTCCAGGACGGCTCTCCCAACATGCCGCTGAGGCACAAAGTATCCTCTCCCTTCTCTTCCACCGTGGAAACTCACAATATAAGGCTCTGCTTGCAGCTGAGGGACTCAAGTCACCAAGGGGGACATCATGGGCCCCATGTAGTTAAGGAGAGAAGCGCCCTGAGTATTTCAAAATTGCAAGGACGCCACCGTACTGAATCCAAAATGGCAGATGGAGGGGGCGGGAATGAACCACAGCTGTAGCAATGCTGGAGGAGGGGCGGATGTTTCGCAACAAAGCAATCTACCTCTGCAATTGGCCTGGGAGACTGGATGAGTCTGAAAATTCAGTTGCTACTTTATTTCACATTTTAAAGAGTCAGGGGGTGGGAGCTTTCTTTTAAAGGGCAGACAGTAGGTGAGCAAAGGATGTTTTCTGGTTCCTGGTAAGTGTCAGCGTGAGCACTTACTGCAGGCAGCACTGTCACAATGACAATCCAGATGCCTTGCAATCTTTCACTATTATCACCTGCAGAATCCCACACACATACACATCCAGCCCCACCACACTCCTTATTCCTCCTGAAAGCTTCTGCACAAGTGAAGGCTTTATACTAAGAATCACAGGGTAGACAAATGAACAATACTGGACCCACGCAGGGGTCAAGCATGATCACAAATACCTTAACTTGCCCTACATTTTTCAGTTTTGGCAAATCCAGACATGTGGGAGCAAAGAAGTTCATGCTCATTTTCTGAGGCTGTTCTAGCAGGTAAGTCCTCGTTGTAAAATGCAAGGATAGCTGGCAAGAAAAGGCAGACATTCACCTTGAATGATGGTGAAACAGGAATCTGGCTGAAGAGTGAGTGAACACCTACCTAGTCCCGAATAGACGAACCTAACATACCCCGCTCTCAGCTGCAAGCACACATTCCAAGGCAAGTATACGAGGCTGAGGCTTCTCATCTCTGCACTTAAAGTTGACGGCAGGTAAGAGCTTTCATGTGAGACAAAAGCTTCCAGTCAATAGAATGGAGCACTTCTGGCTCTCATTGCAGATGACATGAGAAGCTTGAATGAGAATCCAACATGTTCTGAGCAAAAGTAGTAACAAAGAGGCTGGGATGATTGACTCAAACCACTTCTTACATCACTCTATAGGCATACAAGGTTTTAGATGTCTTACTATGGAATGCTGGATTGGATTAGATATCCCCAGCCATACCCTCAATGTAAAATATGTTTTCTGAGTACATACTGACAGGGGGCCAGTTTTGAATAACAAATTAAGCTGACCATTTTTTAACATTTTTTTGAATGGCAAAGTTATAGAGATAAGGAGAGATGTATATAAAGAGACATCTTGCATCTGTTGCTCTACTGCGCAAATGGCTATAATTGTCAGAATTGAGCCATTCCAAAACTAGGAGCTAGGAGGCATCTCCAGGTCTCCCACATGGGTACAGGGACCTAAGGACTTGAGCCATCCTCTGTTGCTCTCCTAGGTCATAAGCAGGGAGCTGGATTGAAAGTTGAGCAACCAAGACTTGAATGAATATTTGCCCATATGAGGTGCATACTCAAAGGCAGAAGCACACATTAAGTGTGTTGCCAGCCTCAACCTGACTTTTGAAATACCAGCATCCCATGTTAGCACCATTTTGAGTCCTGGCTATTCTGCTTCCAATTCAGCTCCCTCCTAATGTACCTGAGACAGCAGCAGGTGACAGCCCAATCCCTGGGCCATGAAGCTCTTGACTCCTGGCTTCAGCCTGCCAAGTCCCGGCTCTTGTAGGCATCTAAGTAGTAACCAGCAGATGGAATATTTTCTCTGTCACTCTGCAACTCTTCCTTTCAAATAAATAAATCTTTAGAATATATAGTGACAGAACTCTATCCCTAAATAAAGGGTGCCCTCTTTCCGGCTCCCGCTGTCACCCCAGTAAACCTCTGACTGCACTTTGATAGTGTAGGTTGACTTACTGTAACTTTGCTTACAGGGTTTTGAAGACATTGGCTGGTCAATATAAGAAGAGCCCCTAGGATTCCTAGAGCATCAGTCACAAGGTAATCTGCTGGAGTATCCTTGGATGGAGTCAAGATACTTTCTCCCTGATGAGAGACTTTCAGGCTCACATGGTATTATTCTTCCCCAAGCAGGACCCTGTGTTGCAAGCTGTGGTAACACTCCTGCCTACTGTAGCTGAGTGTGGTCATAACATCATAAGAAGAGCAGATGGAGCTCGGTACCCAGGAAAACCAGGAAACCTTCCGTCTGACCAACAACCCTACAGCTGCCCAGGCCAGTGGGACAATGGAAGAAGGGTCTCTCTATTCCGCTAATTCATGCCCTACTGCTGTGGGTGTTACACATGTGGGTGTTCCTGACCCAAACACCGATGTAGGTGTAGAAGGCAGGGAAGATGCAAGTCCCTCCAAGGAGGCAGCTTCTGCTAATGTCTCAGTCACAGAACCTGTGTCTATGGAACTAACTCAGTTAGTGAGTGCTCCTTCACACTCCCCTGCACCCTGCAGTTCTAAGACATCTCTGGCAAGTCCAACCACCCACACTGCAGATGTCAGTGTTCCTGACCCAACCCCTGATGTAGGTGGGGTAAGTTGGGCAGGTGCAAGCCTCCTCAATGAGGCAGTTTCTGTTCAAGGGTCAATCAGCGATCCTTTGTCCCAAGACACCAGTCAGTTAGTGAAGTTACTCCTTGAGAAGCATAGGAAACAAGAGCCTGTTAGGCTGGCAGACATGCAGAGGGTTATAAAGTATGAGGAGAATTTCCCTGAAATCTTTAGAAGAGCTTCCGAGCTTCTTGAGCTGGTTTTTGGCCTTATGCTCAAGGAAGAGGAATGCAGTGGTCATTCATATGTCCTTATCAGTAAGCTAAGTCTCTCCTCTGAATGTTGTCTGTGCTATAACAGTGAGCAGTCCAAGACAGGTCTTGTGATGCTACTCCTAACTGTGATCTTTATAAAGGGCAACCGTGCCTCTGAGGAGGAGATGTGGCGATTCCTGAACTCACTGGGAATATATGCAGGAATGAGGAACTTAATTTTTGGGGAGCCTCGGAACCTCATTACCAGAGAATTGGTGCATGAACAGTACCTCAAATACTCTCAGGTGCCTAATACTGACCCTCCAACTTATGAATTCCTGTGGGGTCCCAGAGCCTATGCTGAAACTACCAAGATGAAAGTCTTGGAATTTTTGGCCAAGCTCAATGATACTGTACCTCGTTGCTTTCCTCATCTATATGCCGAGGCGGTAAAAGATGAACAAGAGAGAGCAAGACTGCAAGCTGAAGACAGGAGTGTAATTATTGCTAGCTCCAGTGTAGATCCTAAAATCACGCCCCTTAGTTCCTAATGAAATCGAGGTACATCGTCACTTTAAGAGGATAGTCAAATCTCTCAGTGCATCAAAGTTGTAGAGGCTGGAGGCAACAACATAATATATGTACTATTTTTCCTGTATTACATGAATAACCTGCAGTTATTTTTTTGTTATCTTTATAATGTTATTCCTTTTAGCTGAAAACTTATATTTGCTACACAATAAAAGTTTCCTCGGGTTACTTTATTGCTATTTGTCATGCTGCTAGTTTTGAACAAATAGAAAAGGCTTGAGTGTCTTCTTATTTTAACTGTAGACTATGGTTATGTGGCAGTGGAATAATAATGTTCCTGACAATGTGGAAGGTCTATATGGTAAAACGTGGAGAAAAAAAGACTAAAAAGATAAGATATGTAACACGGTAAATTCTTTGTCATATTCTATGTGATATTTAGTGTGAATAAAAGATATCTGAGTTATATTGATTGTTTCATAATGGCATTTGTTTTTTTCCCTGGTTACTGTATAGGTATTCTGCATGTAAAAAATCTGGGTGGTAGATTTTCCTCAGTTTATCATAATATGAAATGTGGTCAGAAGTTCATCAAACAGGATTTTAAAACAAGGTTGCTAAAAATTCAAGACACATACAAGAACCTAGGTATGCTCAAATGCTTGTAAGACATCTGAAAATAATCGTGATTCATAATTGCAAGACATAATATATTGTAAAAGTAATAATAGAATTCAATTTTTAAACACTCAGTATTTCCTCTCAACATGTCATATATTTTAGAGCACATAGCCAGTATTCCTACAACAGTAATTAACAAGATCACTGCAAAGAAAAATATTTGGAATTGTGTGTTTTGTGGGTTTGTAGTTGTCAGAGCAGGGGCTAGAGCCCATACTGTTCCAGTGTCCTCACAGACCTGGTGTCTTTCACTGCTCCAAAATGTATCTTGGGTGATAAAAACGACCCTGTATCCATAGCATATTTAGAACACACATACAGTAGCAGTAATGTTTACTACATGAGCAGTTCAGGGTAAAGAAAATAACTCTCTCACAATAGCAGATAATATAAAAGATCAAGAGCTTACAATATTATCTTGCCCTATCATATTACTATTGAAACAATGACTGCCATCATCCCTAGCAAGTCCTAGACAAAGCTGTATGGTAGGAATCCTTTTAAGGTTTTAATGGACACAAGAGCCCAGATTTGAAGTTGGCATCCAGAGGTTAGTAGTGTTGTGGGAATCTCATCCTTGGACAAACACCAAGGGGATGACTGAATGAGGAACTGCCCTACCCAGACGAGTAGGAGCCCTATAATATGTATGTCCTTTTAAAAAATATTTGAAAGGCTAAGTTAGAGATAATAAGAACCAGAGCATGAGAGCAAGCAAGTGAGAGCAAGCTTCTATCAGCTGGTTCAGTCACCAAATTGGCAGGGATGGTCCAAGCTGAAGCCAGATGCTTTGCTAACATCTCCCAGAGGGGTTCAGGATGCAAATATTTGGGCCATGTTTTGCTGCTTTGCCAGGTGCATTTGTAGGGAAATGCAAAAGAAATGGAGCAGCTAGGACTCTCAAAGTTGTACTCCGTAGAAATGTCAGAACACCAGGAGTGGCATAACTTGCTATGCCACAACATTAGCCTCCTGCATCTTGTTTTTCACCTTGGATGCCATAAGTAGAGAAATTGTAATTTCTTCTAAAACCCCACTGGTGTCTTAGGGAGGCAAGTACATTGACCTAATGATAGTAAGTTGAATTGTGCCCAACTATAGCATCATAACAGGCTTTAAGGTGATTTAAGGTGAAGATGCTGAGTGATTACTGTGCTCCCTGTTAAAGAGGGGACCACGACAAGGTGCCAGGTAGGGGTAGCCAAGGAGTAGCACTATGCTTTCTGCCTCTGGTCTCTAACTAATGCAAACAGTTTTGTAAAATATCAGCAGACACATGTCTACAGAAGGTGCCCCACATACCATAAAGAATCAAGGCTAGAAGCATAAGGATTGAATGAAACAACAGTTCTATCATAGTGATTGTCCATTGAGTTCTAAACTTCTGTCATACCTCAAAAGACCCCAAATCCTAGTGAGATGTAGCTCCTTTTGCCTCCTAATTGAGAGATTCCACGAAGGTGATGATTCTATCCCTAGAGTGAGTCTGGGTGATAAGAGCTTGGAACTATGATCTTCTCAGTGATTAACATGAGGATCCTGAGTAATGTGACTGGAGCCCATTCAATCCAGAACAGTGGAAACAGACAGTGCTATGCTGCTGCGGTCAGTCTGAGAGGCCCAGGGCCCAGCTGTCTGGTCAGTGACCCTTCTTTCCTACTAGGAGAAGTTGGGGTCTTTGTGTAACTTGAAAAGCTCTCTTCAGCAGAGAAACCAAAACTAGTCCCAAACAGGAGTCAAACTGATGACCCCAAATTAGGCCCACGCTACCCCTCCTACAATAAAGAGGCCACACAGAGTCCTGCCACAGATGTCTCCAACAGGAAACCTGGGAGTGAGTGTATCAGTCCCACTCGGTTTCTTTTAAGACATGTAAAGGATTTGTGGCACTTGGTCTAAGAGGTCAACCTCAGTTTACCACAAGGATAAACTTCAGGTCATTCCAAGAGACCAGGTGAAGACCCCATGGACTAAGGCAAACACATAAATAATAAAAGTTGGGCCATCACACAAATAATTACTACTGTCATCCTAGCTTGATTACAGGGAGCTGTGCCCCAATGAAGCAACCCTTGCACCCTTTTAGGTTAGCTCAGGGAATCTAAAGTCATCAAATAGTCATCTGGGTCAACAGAATATTTAGTGCCACATCATAGAGGGAGGACTGAGGAAAACACGTGAAGTCTTGCTTCTTTCCACTATAGAAAGCCCCAAGCTGTGGTAAGAATATGGGTTCCTCACTTGCAGCCTTAGCAGACACAGCTCAAAAGCAAGAGTTGTCCACATTTTGAATGAGTAATAAAGCAGAATGTAGTGGTCAAAGGCATTCTCAGTAAGAGGGCATTCTTGATGACTGCTTTGAAGGCATTGCACAACATGTTTTAAATTTAATAACTAAAATCAGAATATTGGGAGGTTGGCTCTAATGGGAGTCATTAGACTCATAAAGACTACTTTATAAATGGATTAGTATAGTTTTCTCAGAATGAAATTCATTATTGTGAGAAAGTGTTCTTCACAAAAATTATTTTGTCTCCCTCTCACTCTCTTGATCTCACACTCTCCCTCTGCATGTATTTCCCCCTTTCAGCTTTTCAAGTAAATGATCCAATATGTATTTTTAAAAATCAATTGAAACAGGGCCTGGAACAATAGCCTAGTGGTTAAATCCTTGCCTTGCATGCACTAGGATCCCACCTGGGCAGAAGTTCATATCCTGGCTGCTCTACTTCCCATCCAGCTCCCTCCTTGTGGTCTGGGAAAGCAGTGGAGGACGGCCCAAAGCCTTGGGACCCTTGCGCAAGAAGCAGTGCAGCTGAGAAGCCAGTCAGTGCTCTGACATGGGATGCCACCATTGCAATCAGAAGCTTAATACCCTGTGTCACAATGCTATCTCCAGAAGCAATGTTGATGAGGTGAGAATTTCATGAGAAATATTTAAAAAGTAAAAGTGCTAAGGTCAATACACGGAAGCAAGATTTCACTAACTTTCAGTTTGTTCTTTTATAAAAAAATTATATACATACACACATTAAGATATGTCTATAATATTTTTATTTACCTAGTTGTTAAAAAATTTAGGAGAAATTAAATAATACTAAGTTAGATACCATTATGGTCTTTGATTTGAAACCTTCAACAATGTAAGTTTCTCACTTTATGAGGCAGGGAGGTTTGAGATCAAGGTAGTAGTCAATCTGGTGTCTGGTGTGGGCACACTGCCATGTTTGCAGATGGTGGGTTCTCATGGCATCCTCACATAGCAGAGTTCAAAGAAAATGGAGAACACACTTTGATGTCCCTACAAGTGTACTACTGTTAACTCTAAGCTTCCATCCTCATGATATAATCATTTCAAAAACCTTATTTCTTAATACTTTTATGTTAAAAAGAACAGGGGAGAGCATAATAGGGATAACAGAGGAGATTTTACCCTCTAATCATTATCGCTACAACAAATACAGCCTGGCTCCTATAGGAAAAAAGTAAAACATGAAAGTTCACACCAAAGAGCTGTAGGCCTCAGGTCCTTTTAACCAGTATGACATCTGGCTTTCAGCAAATATAAGGCATATATTAAAACAACAACAACCAAAAAAGAGTTTAAAGGAAAAGACCAAGTATCAAACCAGAAAGCACTTGTTTGGGAATTAAGAAGTTGTTAATTAGAATATGATAAGTCTGTTAAGCGCTATCATAGACAAAATGAACAGACCAAAAAGCTGGCACTGGGCACATGCAAGAACCAGGTCTGATGCAGACCTGGAAGGGGTCCACAGGGGTCTCCCCAGTTAGGCCATAACATCCACCAGTACAAGCCTGGTCTGGGTGTGGGCAGGGCCAGGCCATAGCATCCTGCCAGTTCAAACAGGAACTGGGACTGGGGCTGGCTCAGCTTGACAAGGCTGGGCTGGGCTGGGCTGGGCTACAGCATCCATTAGCACATATGGGGACCAGGTCTGCATGCAGTCCTAGTTGGGATTTTTAGGGGTCACCCCAGCCAGGCTGCCAAACCTGCTGACAAACATAAGGCTGGGTCTGCAAGTGGGGCAGGCTGGGCTGGGCAGCAGTGCCCACTGGTACATTTTAGAGCTAGACCTGGGAGCCAACCCATCAGGGTCAGTCTGATGGGTCCACTCCACTCAACTCCCAATCTCAGGGCACACCACATGGATGTCTAGTTTGACCTCAGAATACATGGTATAGGACTGCAGTTTATCCATTGCTGACTCTGTGTAAGGAGAGACAACATCCTGGGATGTACATGAAAGACAGGTCAGCTGACCTCTCTGGTTCAACAGAAGATTTTGAGTATCTTACAAAAAGATGGAAAGAAAAT